ATTATGTACAACCCGAGATAATCAAGTAATTTACACATTTAAGCTGAAATTGAGCCCTTTACAATATTAATTACAGACTAATTCTATCAGACACTTATTCAATGATCAATTAAATCAATTTTGATAAGTATACTCTTCACGCTTTTTAGACATTCTAAAAAGGTTTTCATTTAATCAAAATTTATTAATCACAGTACTTCTTTTTATGAAATTTGTAAAACACCGAATATTCGAATCTTAAATTTATATTCGAATATCAACCCATCGAATGAATATTCGAATGTTCGAATATTCGTTGACATCCCTACAATCAATCAATAAATTATTTTCTACAGAGATATTATGAATAAAGGTTTTATTGTCATTTATCTGTCTAACCGCCAAAAGACCACAGAATATCTGTTATTACTCTATATCTTAAATTAATTTTAAAATTTTACATGAACAACCGAGAAGAGTTTTATCGCCCCTAACTGTAAAATAGTTTTTTATTTTCGTTTTTTTTTTTAAATTAAAATAGCACGTATAACCTCAGTGTAACATTTTTCACACTGAGGTTAATTTTTACATTTTTCACACTTGGGTTATTTTTTATATTATGGATAGCAACGTTACATCAGGATTTCTCATATAGAAAAACTAAGTTTAAGTAGGAATTAATTTTGTTTTTGTTTTACGTCCCTCTCGAGAATTTTTCACTCATATGGAGACGCCACCACCTGCTGGTGGAGAGCTGCAAATTTTGACCTATGCTCGGCACTTAGGGCCATTGAACAGTGAGGGATCTTTTTCGTGTCAGCACCTACTGCGACACGGGACCTCGGTTTATACGGTCTCATCCGAAGGACTGGTCTCCACATCCCACAGTGAGATTCGAACCCGTGACGTAAGGATCAACTCCTTACTCCGCGACTCTAGAGCAGACGCTCTTACCACTGCGCCACGCGGGCGACACCTCACGCGACGGGTGTAACTCCTCAACGGGGGATGCATTCCCCTTCTAGGTACCTGTTCCCACCTCTGTCTGGAACTGTCCGTTTAATGCCCTCTTCATAGATTTATATTGTTTATATTTTTTTTTATATCGGTCACACTCTTCGTTATTTTCAACCTTTAAACAAAAATCCTATATTTCTATTATATGAGAGTACGTGGTAAATTATACGTGTATTTTAGAAGAAAAAAAATATTCCAATGAAGCCCAAAATAAAAGTGTTCCTCGTCATAAGAATTTTTGTACAAAAAGATATAATTTATATATGACAACATTAGAGGGGATAAGTTACAGTGAAATCACTGAAGCTTGAATTAAGAGATTAAATTATTAATATTTTTCATGGCATGAAGAGATCCAAAAACTTAAGTCAAAATCGAAATCAAATCTCTACAGACTAATATTTTTTTCCTTCAAGCAACGAAAATTTGACCCACTAAAATTAGTAATTTTACAAAATTATATTTTTAATATTTCAAACTTCAAGTAAACATCCACTATCTAACAAGTACATGTATGTAGAAATAATTAAGATGCTTTTCTTCTTTCCGACTAGGGACAATTAAAAAGAAATGGGGATAAAAGCTTTAAAGGTGCTTGGACACAGATTTGAAGTTAATATTTTCTCAAGTTTTCGGTATAATATCATGACTTATGTGTTACTCTGGCATTTCAATCAGAAATAAAATAAAAAAAAACTTATTTTATCTGGAAGTTATTGAAACTCAGTCATTCTACAAAAACATGACCAATTAAGAATTTTTTTATGTCGCTTACAAATTTAGCATTGTAATATCTAAACTATAAATTTAAAGTTCGATTTCAACTATAAGACTTCACATATACACATGGCTTTGTAAATATTTACCGATAAAAACATATGTATATGCAGTACAAGTTTTGATATGAACATAATGTAATGTAGAAAAACGTATTCCACTGCAAATCTTAAAGTCGCTTCACTTAGTTACAAATTACAAGATGAAATTTTCAGCCGTAAAATCGTTCCGAATAGATTGCAATGAATGTTAAAAAATGTCTTTAATTCTATATAAAAAGAAATCAAACCACTTCTCGCAAAGAAATGCATGGATCTCCTTTCACGCGAAATCATAAGCATGTCGCTTAAAATCGATTAACTTCCGTAACGATTTTGTTTTAAAGTTTACGCATAGAATGCAGATTTAACAAGCATTCTGAGAGTATTGCATTAGCATTACTAGTCCCCTACCGGCAAGTGTAATCTGGTTCCCGTTAAGAATTGAAAATGTCATAATTCCGCCAAAAATTTATGAAGCGGAACGAAATGCAAACTTGATCTATAACTAATCAAGGTTAAGTCACATACCAAAAATCAGCTCAATATCTGAAAGCGTATAGAAGAAAATTGCGGAAAACCCCTAAAAATTGAAAAGGCCATAATTCCATCAAAAATCAATGAAGCGGAACGAAATGCAAACTTGATCTTACACTCACATACCAAAAATCAGCTCAATATCTGCAAGCGTTTAAGAAAAAAGTGCGGAAAACCAAGTGGGACAGACTGACAGACAGACAGAGGGACAGACAGACGGACAGACAGATAGTCAGACGGACGGACAGACTCAGAGGAAACCTATAGTCCCCTCCGGTTTCACCGGTAGGGGACTAAAAAAGAACTGAAACTTATCTGAAAGTGACCATGAAACCTTATATCATCGATTCTAGTTGCGAGTCAGCTATTTTAGACGATTACATTTTCGACATAACAAAATGAATTAGACAAAAACAGTTGTCTCTCTTAAAAATTTAACTTCCTTAACGGTAATTCAGGAAATTTTTGCATTAAAGGTATAAAAAAATTTATTATTTTGGGAGCGAAATGCTTCATACTTTTGTTTAATATCCTAAAACAAACTTTGATTTTAACTATTGAAGAGAATTTTAATTTTTATTGCTGGGAATTAACTTCCGTAACGATATTTTTCCCGAAAATTTAATTTAAATTCGGATTCATGCGAGACTTCATGAATCATACTTTAGCTTTCTTTACTGAACATCAGAAACGAAAATTGGTCAAATTCAGCTTTATTTAAAAAATAATAAGGCTTGATCAAGCATTAACTTCCGTAACATTACCTTAAAATCAATGGTATCTTGAAATTGTTGTAAGAAGTTAACGATACCAGATTTGTGGACAATTCTTTGTCTTCAAGTTCACTGATATGTCCTTTAGAGAATTATGATGTTCATTTTGCTATTTGAAACAATTATTTTTTTCATGTTTTCTAATCTGAATTGGTCCATTTATCGTAGAATGACTGACTACATATTTCGGGACGCGTTTGATTGATACATCCTAGCACTTTCATAAAGCAAACTTTATCCTTAATACTTAAGAAAAGTAAAATTTTTGTTGGGTATTAATGAAATATATTCAAACTATAATCCAGAAAAGAGTAGAAATGTAAGAAAGCAAAACCAACTCACCAGTATTGTCAGTCCGTGCTCAATGATGTGTGCAGAGTTTGACAAATTGAACATACCCGGTGAAACATAAGCGTTATCAATAACAGAACTCGTGCCCTGTTTACAAAAACAGTTTACGTTTCACGGGTGTGTTCAATTTGTTAAACTCTGCACACATCACTGCATGAGCACGGACTGACAATATTGGTGAGTTGGTTTTGCTTTCTCACATTTCTACTCTTTATTTTCTGGATTATAGTTTAATATTTTTCATTAATGCACAACAAAATTTCTACTTTTCTTAAGTATTAAGGATAAAGTTTACCTTGTGAAAGTGCATAGATGAGTCAATCAAACGCGTCCCGAAATCTGTAGTTTCAATAATTTCCAGATAAAATAAGTTATTTATTTTATTTCCATGTGAAATGCTATAAAAACATATAAGTTATGATATTTTACCGAAAATTTGAGAAAATATTAACTTCAAATCTGTGTCCGAACACCTTTAAGACAAATGTTTTTCGTTCTTATAAGTTTTAAAAAATATATTGGGACCAGGAAATTGCTGGAGATAGATAAAATAAAATTAAACTTTCCTCGTGGTACCATATAAAACGTGATGAAATCACGCACTACTTTAACGACGACTCAGTAAGCTTATATTGTATTGAAGAAATCTGTCTGATCAAAAATTGCCCAAAAATGTATTTTTGAGACAGATATTTTTAAGGACGATCACTGTAAGTATAACTGATTTTAGCGTGTAATTTTCCAATTAAGTTTAATTCTTTTTTCTTTTCATGGCTGCAGTGTGGCAGGGACATTCTGTAATGTATACTATGGAAACTATACAAACAAGAGGCACATGGGCCATAACGCTCACGTAAATAACTACGACTCTTCTGTTTTCCAACAGCAGATCCCCCCCCCCCCCATCTATTCCTCTACAAAACTTTGATCATACAATGTGGCCCAACCCTACCTCCGGGGTATCATGATTTTAACAAACTTGAATTTACACATCCTGATGATGCTTTCATATAAATTTGATAAATCATAGATTTGCTGTTCTTTACAAGATTTTATTTTTCCTTTATAATCCTATAGATGTAAAACTTCGATCTCCAATTGTAGCCCCATCCTAACCCCGGGGTCTTGATTTAAAAAAGGAATCTTCACTATTTTATAAAGCTTTCACATACGTTTCATCCTTTTTGGTCCTTTGGTTCTTGAGAAGAGGATTTTTAAAAGATGTTAAATCTTTACTATTTTTAAATAATCTCCCCTTGAAGAGGGTGTGGTCCTTCATTTGAAAAAACTTAACCCCCCTTACCCAAGAATACTTTTTGACAAGTTTGGATTAAATTGGCTACGTCCTTATTTATTTGTCAAAAAACAACACTTGAACATATTTATTGGAGGGGAGGAGGGGGGCACGTTGAATTTATAAACAAAGGTGTAAAATACACCGGTATATACATGTATAAATAACTTTTTAAAAAGTGTTTCAGTACTTTTATTGTAATCCACATGTAACATTGACGGATATTAGAACATTCTAACCCAGTACACCAGCATTATGAAGATTGATCAGATCGTCTTTAATTGCAGGAATTTCAGAAAGCGCTGAAATATATGAAGTTCAAGATAAGCATCTGCATGAATGAGGTTCAAAGTGAAATATCAATACAGATTCCGTAAAATATTCAGTGAACATTGCACTCAAAAATAAAGTATTGATAGTTCTGATATTCAAGTGATCCATTTGGAAAATATGACATTAAAGATACATATGAGGCGCCGTTTTGGTATTTACGGCCAAAAAGTGATATCACCTATTCGAATAGGTGATATCACCTATTCAATTGGTGATATCACCTATTCGAATAAGTGATATCACCTATTCAGCTTCTGAATAGGTGATATCACCTATTCGAATAAGTGATATCACCTATTCGAATAGGTGATATCACCTATTTGATTTGAATTGGTGATATCACCTATTCGAATAGGTGATATCACTTATTCGAATAGGTGATATCACTTATTCAAATAGGTGATATCACTCATTCAAATTGAATAGGTGATATCACTTATTCGAATAGGTGATATCACCTATTCAGCACAAATAGGTGATATCACCTATTCGAATAGGTGATATCACCTATTCATTTCGAATAGGTGATATCACCTATTCGAATAAGTGATATCACCTATTCGAATAAGTGATATCACCTATTCGAATAGGTGATATCACCTGTTCGAATAGGTGATATCATCTATTCAATTTGAATGAGTGATATCACCTATTTGAATAGGTGATATCACCTATTCGAATAGGTGATATCACTTATTCGAATAGGTGATATCACTTTTTGGCAGTAAATACCAAAACGGCGCCTCATAGATACACGACGTATAGCTGAACTAACAACAAATGTTACGCATATGTTACGTAATTTTGGACTTGAATCGTAAAAAAAAATTATAATAGCGTATTAATAATGCTACTGGAAAAATGTTTCTTTTTTAACACCTTGAGTTAAAAAAAAATTAAAACAAAATGCACGTATTTAAAAACAATTTCATAAACAATATTTCATCAATAAATTCATATGGAGATAGACGTCAAATAATTCAGTACGCGAGTGGAAATCTATACACTGCACTGAAATGATATGAAGTCACACAAAAAATCTTTTGTAATCATATTATATCACCAGAGACAAGACAAATTTTGAGTTTTACAGTAAAAACATTGGAATTTGGCTTAAGTGACCAAACGACTAATGTTGTTAACACGTATCGCAATGGTATGATGTGCGTGCGTCAATTTCTACTAAAAATAAACTTACGTAAGCAGTGATTGGCCACTAGAGCGTAGCCCTTGCAGCATACAAGGTTCGCATCAGGACATGACGTCTTAATCGTCTTACTCCTGTATGTTGGTTTATACATAGGTGATGAACTGTCAAGCAAAATCAATTACGAATTTAATTATAATTGTATTTAAATAAATATGTATTTTTGTACTTTTTAATAACTACGATTAATCCACTGTATTTTGAAATTTCTAACTCAATTTTACAAACTGTAATCCACTGTATTTTGAAATTTCTAACTCAATTTTACAAACCTATATACAAAAGTAAATTTTGTTATTGCAAGCAATAGCATAATTAATCCCGAAGTGACCAAAACGGATTGTTGTTTTCTTAAGCAACTACTAATTTCAGAAATTCTGAAAATTTCAATTTTTCAAAAATTTACCCATTTTCCAAGGGAACGGCGACTGATTTTGAAAATGTTTAACTCCAGAAACTTTGGAAGACTAACAGATCAATATTTTGTAGTTTGAAGAGCATTTAGAGGAAAAAGTTCAAATTTAAAAGAAAAAAAAAATCCCCTTCATTTATTACATGGCAACAATGAAAAGTTTATCCAACCATTTTTATTGTGTAGAAATCAGTTTGGCCAATCATGACAATGAGCACACAGCAGGTGTGACCGGTCTACAGGGGATGCTTGCTCCTCCGTAGCGCCTGATCCCACCTCTGATGATTTTTAGAGGTCCATGTTTGTTCTGATATTTAATTTTTAACTTTCCTTTGTTTCATTGACTACGGTAGCAATTCTTAACTAGGCTTTGTGATTAATAATCCTGTCAAGTTTTATTCAGATTTTTATTAAGATTTTTCAAGCCAACTGCGAGAACACTTTTGAACAAAATTCAAGATTGAGCAGTTGGCTCTGGGTGACATGAATAAAAGAGGGATACATGCTTTTCAATCTGTATGTCCTTTGCGGGTATTTTAGTGCATATAGAATCAAATCCAAAAGATGGATAATATTCATGAAATCAAATGACCTTTTACTGGAATAAAAAAGTCAGTTATTGTCCTTACTCACATGTAGTAATAATGATGTCTGGAACAACTGCTGAGCCAGAGAAATCCACAGCTGGTATACGTTACACGGTCCCTGATCTTTGAAACGTACATGAGCTGGGAGTGGGTTTCAATGATAGTTTTGGTAGTGGCTACGTTGCAACACCAATGCGCCCTGAATGATTTAGCATTGTTGCTTTTAGAAATACTGAATACATGTACTTAGTTAATTTTCTTTTCTATTATAGGGAATGATAAAATGGAAGATTGGCTTTCCGTGGCACAAGCTTTTAATTTTTTTACTACAATTCTAATGCGATGGATCCAAATACTTACGTAGCATTTCCATGGAGAATCACTTCGCGTAAAACGCGTTGGACACTTTCAGGTAAGTTAGACAGCTCGGTTTCTCCAAGATTTCTTTTTTGCTTTTCATTAAGAAAGTCAAGTGGATCTTCACATAGTGCAAAGCAAAATAAAAGAACATGCAGGAGTAAACGAAATGTGACCATTGCTGAAACTTTTGTAGGACTTTCAAAAGCGAAAGTTATTCAATGAATGTAATTTTTACACCTGTTTTTCCTAAGTGCTGTAAGGTCTTGCAGATTAGAATGACACTTTAACCCCAGAAATAATCCTTAAGTACACTAAGATAAACTAGGCATTGCAATAGTTAATAAGCAACAATATACTTTCAGAAATATCGACCAATAGATGAAGGATAACCTTTGTTACAGAAAGCACTATATGCCTATATATGCCGGGAAATAAAGTCATCAACATCTATCAGCTGTCTATTGATTTTAATCCCAAGAAGGTGAATATTGCATGATAATATATATCTGCGTATTATCTTGGTTTAAATTATAGCAAAATTAAATTGCAAAATTCGTCAGTAATATGTATAGATAAAATTAAAAAAAAATACCAGGGTAGGGCATTTTTTATTCACTTTAGATAAATAAAGGACGGTTGTTTATGTCAGCAATATTAGTGTACTTAGACATAATGATAACCTTTTGTTGTACACTTATAAGTGTAGTTCATATTCTGTATTAAAGATCATTCCTATTTGTCGCTCATATATTACGACCTCTCTAAAGAAATGAATTACGAAACAACACAGACGATCACATGCAAAGACAACAACAAAGTTCAGATCTTTACATCAATATATTTTTTTTATAAACACCTAAAAAAACAAACCTAATCAAAAAATAGATATGAAATCTATTGATAACCATTAATAACCATTACGTCATTTTCAAAGTGTTTGTAAGAAAAGGAAATTTCGTATGAATTTATTAATTACACGATAATATGATAAACAAGCATTCTGAGAGTATTGCATTAGCAATACTAGTCCCCTACCGGCAAGTGTAATCTGGTTCCCGTTAAAAATTGAAAATGCCATAATTCCGTCAAAAATCAATGAAGCGGAACGAAATGCAAACTTGGTCTATAACTCATCAAGGTAAAGTCACATACCAAAAATCAGCTCAATATCTGCAAGCGTTTAGAAAAAAAATGCGGAAAACGCTGAAAAATTTAAAAGGCCGTAATTCCGTCAAAAATCATTGAAGCGGAACGAAATGCAAACTTGATCTGTAATTCATCAAGATACACTCACATACCAAAAATCAGCTCAATATCTGCAAACATTTAGGAAAAAAGTGCGGAAAACCAAGTGGGACAGACTGACAGACAGACAGAGGGACAGACAGACAGACAGACGGACGGACAGACTCAGAGGAAACCTATAGTCCCCTCCGGTTTCACCGGTAGGGGACTAATAAGAATTGTACATTATTCACACTACCAATACGTATGATTCTTAAGATTACAAAAAATGTTAAAAAATAAATTATGACACTGCATTCTTTTTAAGTAATTCAAGTGACAAAAGAAGAGTCTGAGATTTTTTGATTTGTTTGAATCAAATTACAAAAGATAATGAAGTGCAGAATGAGTTTATTTTAGAGTTAATTTTCAAAAAAAAAAAAAAAAAAAAACTGCTATAAATTATGAAGACATATTTGATAATGTTGGATATCTCGAGAGTTATGGAATGAATATTACTGCACTCACATTTACACTATAGTTAATTGAAAACATTCTTTGATTGTAAGAAATGAACTTACAACTACATTTGAAAACATTACCATTTAGGGAAAATCATGAGAGAATTTAATATAACCCCCTCCCCCTCCCGAGTCAAAATTCGAACAAACTAAGCACACACTACACTATGATACACTATGATACTTGACTTGCAAAGTATTTTCACAAATCCCAGACAACTTTTTTCTTCTTTTTTTTATAAAAAAAATTCTACTTACATTTTTATTTGATAAAAAGATACACCCTTAACAAGCATTCTAGTCCCCTACCGGCAAGTGTAATCTGGTTCCCGTTAAAAATTGAAAATGCAATAATTCCGTCAAAAATTAATGAAGCGGGACGAAATGCAAACTTGATCTATAACTAATTAAGGTAAAGCCACATACCAAAAATCAGCTCAATATCTACAAGCGTTTAGAAGAAAATTGCGGAAAACCCGTAAAAATTGAAAAGGCCGTAATTCCGTCAAAAATCAATGAAGCGGAACGAAATGCAAACTTGATCTGTAACTCATCAAGATACACTCACATACCAAAAATCAGCTCAATATTTGAAAGCGTTTAGGAAAAAAGTGCGGAAAACCAAGTGGGACAGACTGACAGACAGACAGAGGGACAGACAGACAGACAGACAGACAGACGGACGGACAGACTCAGAGGAAACCTATAGTCCCCTCCGGTTTCACCGGTAGGGGACTAATAACCAAGTACTAACCCAGGTACCATGGATTGAATAATGCTTAATCATGATACTACATTGAAATGAATGTTTAAAGATTTTAATTAAGACTTAAAATAATTTCTCTCTTTCATTTTAGAGCTTTGAATGACTATTATTGTATCATATATAACTTAAAGATACATGTACATACCAATAAATTTTTTTATCTCCCACATAGAAGAGTTTATTTGTGTTTTTTTTTTTAATTTCTATCAATGGAAATGAAATTTTAATTTTGTAAAAATAGACCCTTGAAAATGTTGCCAGAAACTTTATAGGAAGGAACAAACTTCATTCATTTCAAAATTATATTGACCTGTTAAGTTACATTTTTCCACTTTTCACCAAATTATGTGGCCCGGTCAAAAATTTCCAGCGACAGAGGCACCTATTTAAGCAAAGATATATCGAATTTGGAAGAAAAAATTGTTAGTGTTATTTATCCTTAATTCGGCAAAATTATACTTATATTTCAATTACTTGTATCTTATTTTTACTTCAATGTCTATTCATCTAGCAGTCATTAATTGTTTACCATTTATGTGGGAAAATAAAGTTTCTGATTATTAGTGTTTGAAATCAGACAAGAGTATTCATAAACAATGACAGTGGCTTTTATTGAAAAAAATAAAAATAAGTACAAAATTAATGGAAACATACTGGAACTCAAGCTGCCCTTACTGCAAACCTAATAGTCATTTGGAATCCTTTTTTCAACTGTGTATCGAGCAGAAGTCTTTTTGATACGCCGTGTCATTCAGGAAACCAGACCAAATTTTGGTTGCATGCAGCGAAAATTCTCTATTCCCCTTTTCGGTCAGAGTAGCATCCTTGTTTTTTAAACTTGATATTTTAAACAAAATAATCTCTGCATCTCTTTTTCACCTTATTTTACGTTTATTTTCTTTAAAGCTCTGTAACATCTCTACCAGCTGCAGCCATTGCTCTTCTTAACATTTTAGAATATCTATAAGATAAGATATCTTCATACCTATAAAAAATGAAAACATGAATATTAAAGATCTGGGTTTTTGCCTCCACTGGAAAGTTTTACATTTGCATTTGTATTGAACTCATGCAATACTGAGTAATTTGAAATGATTGACATATATAAAGATGTTCTTACCCATTTTGACGAAATATTGTTTGTAAAAAAAATAATTCATAGAAAATTTATATCATTCTGATAAAAGTATTTTTAGAAAAGATATATCAATGAGATAATTTTACTCATCAAACTGGAGTATTTCTGGTAATTCTTCTTCAAGCAATTCGTTGAGATTTTCATAATGAGCAATGTTCTGCCTCTGGTCATATATTATTATCTCCACAGGAAAGCTGAAACACAGAATCCTACTTGAGGATATAAGCATTAAAAAATATATTTCAATTCTTTAAATTATTTTTTAAACTCTATGCCAAATGCTAATGGTATATATGAAAAATGAAGGTATATATGAAAAATGAAATGAAAATTGAGCTTACGAATAGGCATCAAGTGTTTCCGATGCCAGTTTTGAGACAACTCTGTTCGTTGAATGTACCAGCTTCTTCAGCCTTGCAACGAGGGACCAAGATGAAATGAAATTATTTTTCAGGAACTTCATTATGGGCGGACTCGCGAGTGGACCTTCGCGTAGAGTCCGCCCCGATCCTGAAAATAAATTAGTGCTTGATGTTCAAGGATACCAAATAAAGAAAATATGATGGCAGGAAGATGCAACTCTTTATTTCACTTTGGTTCATACTTACCTCAGCATGATTGATCATCAAGAGATCCCCATAATACAATATGATGAATTAATTTGCTCTCTGCTTTTGCAACCTCGATTGCTTCCTCAAATGGTAAGTAGTCTACCTATCATACATAAATTATCCTGACTTACGTTAAAATATGTGTTCACAAACATGAAACATGAAAATTACAATATTTTGGACTTTATTTTCAGGATTTTAGCAGATTTCAAAAAGGTTTCATTAAAACCCTCACCTGCTTAAAAGGAAAGAAAGCCTTTTCCAGATTGCCTTGGACTTCTTTGACAGACTTTTCACGTGACCACTTAAATAATTGTTCTTCAGAGTAAGGGATAGATTTCAAATCCATTAATGGAAGGTATCCGATGTCCACCATTAAATTATCGTCAGGTCTTTTACTCCCATACCATTCTAAATCTATATAAAACAAAGTTATTAATTTCTAGATAAATTCGAAATTTTTGTTGTAATTTGAATTGTCTCACAATATAATTCTCGCGTTACATTCCTAAAAATACTCCTTTGCATTTTATTTCTACCTCAAATTACTTAAAAGATCTCACTTTGATCAATATTTACCAACATTCAACTCGTTTGTGTTTGGAACATACAAATGAAAGTGAAGTATTTCTTTAGTTCTGATATTTAGAATTATATTTCCAGTAAAATACGCTGGGGTAAACCAGAAAGGTAACAGCGGTTTCTCGTTCAATTGAAATTCTGCATGGAACCTAAGGAAAAAAGTATTGTTAGTAATCCGATTCTTTAGGAGCACTTTGAACAGAGCAATTGTTTTTCATCTTATATTTGTTTTTGTGTTCGATATAAAGTGTTAGACTTCAAATACAGTCACCTAAAATAAATATCAACAATATCTCCATTTGTTGCTCGTAATGTTGAATATCCCCCTTTTGGTTCAAA